TCATCTAATTTAGGGGTCTTTTTCGCTAATATGCTTTGAAGGGGCCATATTAGAGGGGCAAAAACCCCCCATCAAATAACTACAGTTAAATTGCATTTAAATGACCTATAATTCCACCAACATTGCACTTAAGTGACCTTTATTTTAAAACTGACCAAATAAATACCCCAAAGTATTTAAATGTTACCGATCACTATCCCAAAGTTAAAAAATCCCTAATGGTGTTGACATTTCTCTGTGTCCAAGAATGTCATATAATACAAAGTACTAAAGTGTAACTTTTAAAAAAATTGAAACATTAAGTAAACAAAAGGGCACCAAAGTGTGATAATTTGAAGCTTTAGGCATTTATCTGTAACATTTAAATACTACGAGGCATTTATTTGCTCGGTTTGAAAATAGCGGTCACTTAATTACAGCATTGATGAAATTATAGGGCATTTAAGTACAATTTAGCCAATAACCACAGACTCTAGTGATACCATCAAGAGGATAGCCATAGATGCCTGTCACGAGAATCAAACGGATGAAAATTCTACTAACTGGCGATGCCGTTACAAGATAGCATCCATAAATACGGGACCAGCTTTGTTTTCGAAGGCTTACAGCACAAAATAGACATCATAGGACTGTGCTTGCCGAGATGAGAAGCACTAGTCAAAATGTGAACTCTTCAGGCAGCTCCTGAAACTTACTAGATAAAAAACTCCTGTACTTCCCCTTGAGATCTCTAACTGCAATGATAATTTAGGATTTGTTGTATCACAAGAAATAAATAATTTGGACGGAAAAAAAGGTTAGCCGGAAATTCATTACCTTTGGAATCAACAATCCCTGTTTTGCCCTCTGGCGCTTTATCGGATAAAGTGACTGAAGCAAGTCTAATAATCTCCTCACCTATAATTCCAATAGAGAAAGTATAATAACAGTCAAGGTACTTCAAGGTTGCATAAAGGAAACTAAATACGAAGGACAGCACTCCATCTTACCAGTTATATGCTTTCCACCACTGTTAACATTGATCAAGAAGGACGAGATCTCATTATTCTTTAACTAACAAATAAAGATGGAAATTAATCATGAGCGAGGTATGATAGTCAAGAAGATATTATCGTTAATGAGGGGTTATCAAGGAATCACAAGAAGTTTTTAATACGTACATGTGACAATAGGGCAATGGCAAGTGCTAGCGGATCAAGAGGCGAAGGACCTCTGCTGAAAGCAGGCAAGAATTTTCCATCCTGATAGCCTGCCAAAAAGTGATAAGCGGCTTGTCCTGGAGACAGCTTCGATACCAATGGAATTGCACCGGTGCTGCAATTTGGAAAAAGCCGTTGGTAAAATGTCAGAAGTTCACCAGCAACTAAAAGCAATAATAGAGGATGTGAACGCAAATTAAAGCCATCTCAAACCCCAAACTTTGATTTCATGAACGAAGCACTAAGAGAGTGATCTTAAGACAAAGAACTTTGATTTCTGAATTTATTTCACCTGTCAGCGGAAGCAATGATCACAGAAGCAGGTTTCTTTAGCAGCTTTTTTGCAGGACCTTTAGTTCTGAAAAAGGGAAGCACACTATCAGAACTCAAAACAACTCCAGCATCTTGAGTCACCAATGCCTGACAAAGATCAGAACAGGTCCGAATAGTGTCTTCCGAAGCAAACAAAAGAATCATAGAATCACCAGCCTCAAGGAGCCTGAAAAAGCATATAGTAAATTGTCGACCACATAATAGAGTCAAAATGCTGAAACGTAAGCACTTGGTACCTGGCAGCAAGTGGAAGGCCTCCCCTTGCAGATATTAAAGGAGCAGCCAAAGCAGCTAAGGCATCTCTGATAGCATTAGCATCAGCGAAAGCTCTACCACACAAAATGAGGGATGAACGCTCTATGTCGGCTGCTGCAAATCCAGTAGAGGCTTGTGTTGCAAGACCAAAAGCCTGACTGATTCTTGGACTACATCATTAGCAGGAATAATGGAGTCAGATTTGTACTGTATTTATATAATCATACCAGATTTCAAGTTTAAGCTCTATAATATTCTTGTAAGGAATAGCACCTCTTGATTTCGTAATAATAGAAAGATAGACCAGATTCTAGGTCAATACTTCATTACTGCATCAGATGTCTATACTAATAATCTTAATTGTGATGAGAAATTTAAACCATTATTGATAACAAAACTGATTTGATGTTGTGCATTTTGCACCATATAAAATATACAATAATGTCATCAACCAATTTGAGAAAAATAATAGTGTTGCTAAAGTTTTGTAACTTTAGCAAAGTTTTGTAACTTAGTTTTATGCAACAACTTTGAGCATGATGCAAATCAGTAACTGTTTAATATGATACAATAGTATGAATCAGATCTACACCTAGAGAATATAAACTTGCATGGAGAATCCCACTAACATGTTATAATATTAACATGGTAACAAGGTAATACAAACATTTCGAGTGTTAGACTAGCAGGAAAATTGTTACATGATTTTGCAAAGTTCTGTAACCTAAAGTTCGGCTAAATTACCAGATTGGTATTTTTTGTACAGCCCTCTTATCAATTTGATATTTTTGCTAAGCCAATCGTGCAATTAGACCCAAATCTTCACCACCGGCGGAAAAAAAAGCCATGAAACCTCAAATGAGGCTATTAGTGCTATCTTATTCATGAGGAAAGTGCTAGAAGATTATTTGGCGCATAGATATAAAGAATAATAACTATGACCAAGCCTATGCAAAAATGTTGAGTCTAGAAGTGGCAACTTTTAAGCCGACCCGCCAACCCGACCCAACCTGACCCATTATAAATGGGGATGGGTCAAAATATATGGGTTCGGATCATATACGAGTCGACCCAAACTACCCATTTATTAATTGGGTAAATTCGGGTCAATCCTAAATGACCAGTGTAACGCATTTAACGACCTGTTTAATCACATAAATGGATACATGCGTAACCCTAGCGGTGATCAATTCCATCCCCTAGATTCTTCTTCGTTTCTCCAGAGCAAGTCGGGGAGCTTCTTCGGTAACAACTCATGGAGGGACCTGAGCAAGAGGACGAAGCATGAGGGTTGATCGTGGTGTCGCTGATTAGTGGGCCTTTGATGTTTGTGGGATTTTTTGATACTTTTTCAGAAATCAGAGAGCTAGAACGAGGGGTTTGGATTTTTCTCAACATTTCCGAATAATAATACATAGGAGCATGTCAACCTAACTTCTACCTTGTGCAAGAATAAAATCTCTTAATAACTGCATGTAATTTAATTTTGGGTTTGCAAAATAGAACCAAATGACCGCCTGTAGTTGCGAAAGACCCCTGTTGCTGCAAATAGATCCACTGATTGACCCTCAGAAGGTCTTTTTGTTAAAAAAGTAATCTACTCTTTCTTTGAGGGTAAAAGAGCCAAAAAATATATAAATCAGAGGTCTATCTGCAACAACAAAAAATACAAGGGATCTATTCGTAATCAACCCAGTAATTTTTTTTAAAGAGAAAATTTGATGTTTTAATTTTACTATGACCAAAGAAAAATATGATTCCATCTGCAATTTGTTTATAGTTAGGGGTTCATTAGCAAACAAAACCCCGCTTAACTTTGGACGATTGTCAGATAACCCCGTTAAGTTTGAAAATATCAGAAAACCCCCACTAGGTTTAGGGGTTTCCTAATAAAATCTTAAAGTTAAAAAGGGGGTTTCTAATTATCCCTATACTTTAGGGGGGTTTTCTAATATTTTCAAATTTATGGGGGTTTTCTAAAAATCATCCAAAGTTAAGGGAGTTCTCTGACGTTTAGCCTTATTATTCCCATATAATTATAGAGCAGATGGCCATTATTAAATCTAAATGGAGAAAGAACTGCGAGCTGAACCCCAGTTTATAGGCTAAATATAAGCTTAGTTATTATCCTGGATGAAAGTCTTGCTGCCATATGCATCATAATATCATATTCAACTTTATGCTTGCTTGCTTGATCAGTTAAATGTTGTTGCCAAAGTTTTGATATTTTAGTTTTCATCTAGTACATATCAGACATAAAATCATCTAGCATGTTCTTAGAAGCTTGCAAATTAACAGTTTAATACTTATTCGGGTCACTCGGATCGGGTTGGCTAATCCATTTAATAAATGGATCGGGTCATCGGACCCGTCTATTAAACAGGTCGGGTTTGGGTTAAACTTATATGGGTTGGGTCATAAATGACCCGGCCCGACCTGTTTTCCACTCCCAGTTGAGAGTCCACAACAAAAAAGTAAATTCTGGGACAAAGAAGGGGAGGGCATAGTATTACCTCCAAATACGGTGAAGAGAAAGCTTGGAAGGCGAAAAACTGCTAGGAGGAAAGAGGTTTCATGCCTTCTTTTTCTGACGGCAAAGTTGTGGTCTAATTTCACATTGGGCTATTAAAAAAAAACGTCGCCAGAGCTAGAAAAAATACCAAACTGATAAAAGGGATGTACCTTGTTTTATACACAAACAATTTTTGGCATGATGCAAATTACTAAATGCTTGATGGGATATAATAGTATGAATCAGATCTCCAGCTAGGGAATAGAAACTGGTGTGGAGAATCCCGCTAACATATTAACTATAATTTATGACTGATGTGAATATAACAAGGTACCTGATATTGCTAGCAACATAGACTGTTAAGGGGCAAGAGTCATGGGAAACTGCTCTGCTAGGTGTTTCCCAGAGGATATGGGAAAGTGACAGTATTGCAGAGGGACTATCACTTATGACACGAACCTTTGCATCACATTTTCCAGCAGAAGCAACAGCCCCATCTTGAACAAATACATTAGATACCGAAGAAATATGAGAGGTAACCTACAGCAAAAGTTAAAAAATACATAACAAAAATTATTTTCTGATGGCAATAGCTCAATCTGAATTTACAATGGCATTGTCATAATCCAAAATTTTCCACAAAATGGGTTGACAAGAAATGCAACTTCAAATTGAAAAGGAGCAAGATATTTTAACACAATCAATCATTTTATACTAGGTGCGAACTGGCAGCCAAAATTAGATAGTAAAAGGAGATGCTAAGAAAACGTAGCAGGCAAAGTTGGTTGGTAGTAAAATTTATTATCGTATGCAATTGCTGATGGAACCAAGAAATATGAACTATTAGTTACACGCTTGAATGTAAATCTGGGAACTAGACGAGTTGGTTGTTTAGATTGTGGTATGTATTTCAATTATCTGAGATTTATCAGAGAATTTAGAAGAGCACTGAACTAAATCACATAGCCCACTTGTAATGCTAATACCATTATTTCAGATTTCAGATATAATTTTTTCAATGTCTTATATTTACGATAGAGCAATAAGAAGAACATGATGAATAAGAGAGCCTTTATCGGAAATTTTAGGGATCAGCTAAATTAATCCTTGTTAGGTACTATTAAGGACAACTAATTTAGTTAAATGAACCACATAGGATACTTTTTTTTATTGCATCCAACCAGTTTGGCTTATTTTTAGTCCTTATTATTCCATCAATTATCCTGATGAATGCATTAGTTGGGCTCCTTGGCAAATGCTCAAACCATAAACCAGGCACATCATCCTCCAACTTTCAATCATGGATTTTCTTCTTCACCCACGCACCCACACAAATGTTCACATGCACACATAGATGTTCACATGCTCACACATGCACGCACACACAAGCACACAAACACAACACACATAAAACAACCAAATGTGCACACAAACACACACACACATACACACACACAACCGCACGCACACGCGCGCACACACACACACAACAGAATTGTACCAATGGTGCAAGCAGCTATGTAGCACGGACACGGATCCGACACGGCCATCCGACACGCCGACACGAGGCAAATCCTAAAAAATACATAGGATACGTGTGTTCGACACGTGTGTCCGACACGGACACGACATGACACGGCTTCATGTTATGTGTGTCCGTGCTTCATAGGCAAGCAGGCCTTAACACAGCATTTTAAGATTACGTGCTGACTTGGAGACCACAGAGTCGTCAAGGGATAGACAGGCCATATGCACATGTACATTATGAAACAACATTGGACTGCACCACATCTTATGATAAACAAATTGCTAATCTAAGTATGGATCAAATAGAAAACATATCGGCTCAACACTTTTATGAAATTTTCTTGATTAGGTAACCTCACCTTCGTTGTGACTACTCTGTGTACACTCATGACAGGTGAAGCAGAAAAGAACAAATCAAACAACTTAGTTATGAGGTCTAAGGTATAACACTAAAGAAAAAACATAATACACCGTCCAATATTGAGGTGTGAATCAATTGATGTAAAATATAATGTAATAATAAAACGTGCAGTTCATGATATAATTTCAAATAAACAGTATATTTTCTAATAGTACAAAATCCGTACAGGAAATACATTTAGCGATTGGCCATAGATTACTGTATGAACTAACAAAAAAAGTAAAATAAATTTTTTTTTTTAAGAATTGACGTAGCAATTCATGTAATAAAGGTAATCAATATTAGCCGGATAATATCCCCATACATATATCATGCTTTTAACATTTCTCAATTTACTTAGAGCATATAAGCATGTACTTTTAGTTATCAAAGTGCAACTGAACCTATGGAATTGTTTCGCAATGCATTTTCAGAATCCATAAGTTACTGAGTAATGCATGATAAAATCAATTTTTTGTTGTGTTGCACTCATTTCAAATGAACTGACATAATTAGACCAAACAGATTAAACAACTTCCATATTGAGGAATAATTAATGTGTTGGGTAAGCATATCCCTTAATTACAAACAGCACCAAGATCTAGATGCATGGATAAATGTCAACCATTGAGCCAATAGTACTTGGAAAAAACTCACTTGAGTTTACTTTCAGGTAACATATCAAAGAATGCTGGTGAACACAATCAAAATGGCCATATTGGGCTTTCTGGAGTATAATATACCTGTTTTAAAAGTTCAGCAAATTGTGCCCTTGAAATTTTAGAAGCTCCCTCCACAGCATTTCCTCTCACGTGAAGTGGAATACCAGACAAGCTTTCTACAAGAATCTCAAACAACAGGTTTATGCATTGATATATGAAGCACATTCAGAACTAAAAGAGTGACACAGAGAATGAACCTGAACTTAAATACAACCTAATCTAGTTGCACCATTCTTTTGAAGCTCGGAGGAATCCAAGTTATGAAGTACCTTATCCTTTACTATTACACCTCTTCCAGCAAGAGCCCAGTTCAGTGCAAAAGAAAATTCTGGGCCCTCCCTGTACCATGAACAAAAGAAAACAATAACATATCATGAACTAGAAATAAGCACATATGCAGACAATCAAATATTCTCATTTAACTATAAGCATATCACCCACTGTTGTGATCACTGCAAGACATCTAACTTAAGGCTACTTAGGCTAGCACATGATAATTTAAGTTGGAGAAATACTGTCCCAAACACTAGTCACATCTTGAGTTCAAGCACCTGCAGCTCTTTTCTCAATGTCGTGGAACAAAATAAGCAGTCATGTATCTGCATTCTTAAGTTAATTGAAAAGTTTCAGACATAAAGTAAAGTTTCTGCACCATCTGACATACCGTTATTTTCGATAGCTGCTTAAAGTCCTCTGATTACTTGGAACAGGCTTGAAGGATGAGGATGGTTGTGTTTACGGGCTTGCGAGAAAATGTTCCTTCATTTAAGAGGCTAGCATTCAATAAATAGGCTACTAGTAGTATATGGTTAATATCTCAACCACTGAGATCAAATGACCTTTAAACTTCAAAAGCTAAAAGCCTGAGGATTGTTGGGCTATGGATTCAACTTGATTTACCAAAAGTGTCAACCTAGGAGCATGAGAAGAGTAAAGAAAATATGCACAAAGGCAACCAAGTTGTACCGGGGATTTGAATTAAACACAGCGCCTATTTGCTGACTAGATAAGTCAAAAGAAGAATAGAACACAGTACAACATCAGACTGAATAAAAAATTTACATATTTTTACAACTTCATTTGAAGATGATGTCATTTTGGTTATTTATTGAGTTGGCTGCTTTGGATATGTATGCATATGCCTGTATAATTTATTGGGTGGGTAATGTATTGCTTATGTAACAAGCATCAAATTCAGACTTCCCCCTATATATCTGAGTCAGGAGATCACAAAATGAACACTTCTCAAATCAAGTTGATCACATGTATGACTGCCTTATGGAAGCGAGTTAGTGACCAAACACTTTGATCTCTTCGTGGCACAAAGACAAATACAAAAATCAAATATGACAGAAAAAGAGAAATCTCATACCTAGGTAAGGTTACAGATCCTGCTTCCTCTGCAGCTTCTGACACTGAAACTGTGTACTGAATGTCTCAGAAAGTTTAAAAAAAAAGAAACTATAAGGTATGACAATAGAACTTATAACAATTTGAAAAAGTTAACTAAATAACAGCTACTAAATATTACTGAACTAAATGATACTAACATAAAACGAGTTGTGCACGTGTTAGAAGACATGCAACTTAATTTAATGCCTAAT